CGGCTCAACGGCAGCTGGCTTTCAGTACAGACAAAAATGGACGCAGAAACAAAGCCACAAAAATAAAACCACACCCACTGCATGGAGTCGATTCTGACTCACAGCGCCCCTGGAGGACAGAGTGGAACTGCCCCAAGGTTTCCAGGCTGTCAGTCTTCACGGACGCAGACTGTCTCTCATCTTTCTCTGCAGACTGTCTCTCATCTTTCTCCCGAGGAGTGGTGTGGCCCTAACCGATGATCTGGGTAGCAGCTGATGTGCTCACTGCAGTGGCCTAGAACTGCTCCACAGCGTTCTCCAGGCTGTCAGTCTTCACGGACGCAGACCGCCAGGCCTCACTGAGTGGGGCTGAACCGCCAACCCTTCGGCCGGCAGTCAGGCACTTCACCGTGTGCCCCGGGACTCCAGGAGGACAGCTACGTGTCCCGTCTCCCACCAATGGACATTTGAATCATGACCTACTACTGGCTACGACGGGCAGGCCTACGATGGTCCCCACGGCCTTCTCTGAGGACACAGAAGTCCCTTCACCCGTTCCCCCGATGGCCATCTCCTACACACCTACGGCCCCTGTCAACCGAGGAGACTCGCGCTGGGACAAGGGGTGTGTGCAGTGCTGTGCACTTCGTGTCACGTGGTGGTTGTTGTTGTTGTTAGGTGCCGTCTGGGCTCTTACTCATAGCAACCCTGTGTACAACAGAACAAAACCCTGCCTGGCCCTGGGCCAGCTCCATGATGGCTGCTAGACCTGAGCCCACTGTTGCAGCCACATGTCAATCCAACTCGTTGAGGGTCTTCCCCTTCCTCGTTGACCCCCCACTTTACCAAGCATGACATCCTTCTCCAGGGAATGGCCCCTGCTGACAACATGGCCAAAGTAGAACATGACCAAAATAGGTGAGACGAAGTCTGGCCATTCTCACTTCCAAGGAGCATTCCAGATGCACTTTTTCCAGGACAGATTTATTAGTTCTTCTTCGCCAACACCACAACTCAAAAGCATCAACTCTTCTTCAGTCTTCCTTATTTATTGTCCAGCTCTCACATGCATAAGACGCAATTGAAAATACTATTGCTTGGGTTAGGTGCACGTTAGTCTTCAAGGAGACATCTTTGCTCTTCAGCACTTGAAAGAGGTCTTTTGCAGCAGATTTGTCCTGTACAATACGTTATCTGATGTCTTTACTGCTGCTTCCATTGGAGTTGATTGTGGAACCAAGTAACATAAAGTCTTTGACAATTTCAATCTTTTCTCCATTTATCATGATGCTGCTTATTGGCCCAGTTGTGAGGATTTTTGCTTTCTTATGTTGAGGTGTAATCCATGCTGCAGACTGTAGTCTTTAATCTTCATCAGTAAGTACTTCAAGTCATCCTCACTTTCAGCAAGCAAGGTTGTGTTATCAGCGTATCACAGGTTCTTAATGAGTCTTCCTCCAATCCTGATGCCATGTTCTTCTCCATATAGTCCAGTTTCTTGGATTATTTGTTCAGCAAATCAAGGACTCCTCATCGCCGTGGGCAGGTGATTCAGTTCAATGACTGCCACGAACTCTTCCAGGCAACACGCATCCTGCCCCGTGCTATCTCCTAGGTGGTTCTGCCTTTTCTTGTTCAAACCTTGTTCATCATTCAGCATCCATATGAACTTCTACCACGTCTACAGATCCTTCTCTTGTTGAGACCAGTTGCGATTGGCACTCCATGTCATGGTGGCCCACGCGTGTCACAGTAGAACTGTGCTCCCGGGGGTCTCCATGGTGGATTTTTGTAAAGTAGATCACCAGGCCTTTCTTCTGACACACGCTTGGGGAAACTTGAACCCCCAGCCCTTCAGCTAGCAGCTGAGCACATTAACTGTTTTCACCACCCAAGGACTCCCCTTCTCTAATGACTTCTGCAAAAGAAGACGTGAGGTGGGTGGATGGAAGGGAGGTTTTGGCCCGTTTGACTAAGGAACTAGCCCTTCAATGACTGACATCCCTGGTCACACCAGCCACATTTCAAGTGTTCAGTAGTTGCATGTAGCAAGTAGTCACCATCTTGGACAGTACAGTTATGGAGCATTTTCATCATGGCAGAAAGTTTTACTGGACCGAGCACCTTCCCTTCACCCTCTGTCTCCATCGCAGGTATGGGATATGGCCGTATAACTTGTTTAAGAAGCTGGGTATCCCTGGACCCAGGCCTCTGCCTTTCTTTGGGACATTTTTGGAATATCGAAAGGTGAGTGTGAGTCTGAGCCATTTTCCCCAGAGCTTGGAATCTCTTGGCTTGTTTGACTGATTCTAACTCTTCTTCCCTCTGTCTTGAAGTGAAGAGGTAGAGTCATGAAGACAAGGAAGAAGGAGGGCTGTAAGGAGACCCCAGGCAAGGCTGAGAGCCCTGTCATTTACAGTCTGCACAGGAGAGGGGCTGAGAGGCTGAGTGAAGGTGGGAGGAGCAATTTCTCACCAGACAGATGCTCACCACGGGGTTTCGGGATTTTTCTTTTGGGATTTGCTGGGAGCAAATCTTAGTATGAACACATATTAAAAAAGTATTTGTGACTGTTAACAGTCACCAGATCATTGAAGGACACATACCAATGCTTACAAGACAAGAACCACCTAGAACATGCAGTCAGGTGATCATGACAGCCAGCCTCATAGTATGACCTGTATAAGCTCATACCCTCTTAACATGTCGATCAGGATTCAAAAACGATGCATCAGAATCTGGCATTGTGTGTGATGTACCCTAATGTCAACATAACATACACTTGTGCATGTACCAAGCAAATAATCTTGCGTTCACTTTGGGAAACTACAGCCTGGGTGATGGAAAAGGGACCTCTGGGTGTCTAAGCAGTAACCACACAGTGTTCTATGGACAATCCTGTTATCACTGGTCTAACAGATTTGTTCTTTTACAGGGACTTTCTGAATTTGACCAGGAATGTGCTAAGAAATACGGCAAAATGTGGGGGTAAGAATCTCACAGTTAAGCCCCTCCCACTCTCACAATGTATCTTATTGGTGATGGACTCAGGCAAGTTGGTGCCTTCTCTTGGAACAGTACCATAACTATGAGTCCAGCCCATCATCAAACCTGGACATAGGCAGTGAGGCCACAGCATCCACTGTCATCTTTGTTGTCTAACACCCCAGCCTTCAAAACTGGTCACTTCTATAGTGAATTGGGAAGCATCTCAATATTCTGGTCAACTTGAAGGAGCCCTGGTGGTGCAGTGGTTAAGTGCTTGGCTGGTAACCAAGAGGTTGGCTGTTCAAACTCACCAGCCTCCCTGCAGGAGGAAGATGGGGCAGTCTCCGGGGCAGTTCTCCTCTGTCTTGTTGAGTTGCTGTGAGTCAGAATTGACTTGGTGACAATGGGTTTAGTTTGGGTTAGTCAACTGGAAAATTAATCTGCAAGTATTTGGGTAGTGACTATGCATTCAGGGTCCTGAATGAAGCAGAGGACAAGGACTCAGCCCCCAGATCTTCCCAGAGGAGCTCATATCAGAGCAGGGTCTTGATGAATGCGCCGTGAGGATGTGCAGCAACTGGAACTCTCATCAGTGCCGGTGGGAGTGTAAGATGGCACCACCACCTGAAGAACGGTTTGACAGTGTTGTCATAAAGGTAAAGGCATGTTTACCCTGTGGCTCAGCAATTCCGCTCCTACATATTAGCCCAAGGGAAATGAACCGTGTCCACAGAGAGACTCATACTAGAACGTTCATGGCAGCTGTCTTAGTTTCCAAGGGCTGCCATATAAAAATACCAAAAAGAAAGTTGGTTAAAGATGAGACATTTATTTTTTCTGGAGGGTAGAAGTCCAAATGACCATATTGACCATGTGGATTCCTTCTGAGGGCCCTGAGAGGGGACCTGTCCCAGGCCGCTTTCAGAGCTTCTAGTGGCAATCCTTGCTCTCCCAATGCTTGTAGCTGTATCTTCACATGGTGTCTTCCCTGTGTCACTCTGTCCCCTGGTCTTCCTTTTATAGGACTCAACCAGATGGGACTAGAGCCCACCCTACTCTGGTTGGACCTTGTCAATTTAACTGACCCAGACAAGGTTTCATTCACTAGGGCAAGGTTAGGACTTCAACTGGTCTTTCTGGGGACACAGTTCAATCCATAGCAGTATCCTTATTCACAGCCCACATGCTCGTTGACACTACATGGGTAAATGCATGGTGGTACATCCATAGCATGGAATGCTCACTACTTGGCAATAAGAAGGAATGAGCTATCGACACTCACACCAGAGTCAGGAGTCTCACCAACATCCTGGAAAAAGTATGCTAAGAGTGAGGAATATGGGCACACTTCGTTTTATTGCTCTTTGCTTTATTGCACTTCGCAGATGCTATGATTTTCGTAAATTGAAGATCTGCGGCAGCCCTGTGTTGAGTGAGTCTATTGGAGTAATTTTTCCAACAGCGTGTGCTCACTTTGTGTCTCTGTGTAACATTTTGGTCATTCTCACAATGCTTCAAACTTTTTCATCATGGTCTGACACACTTAATGGACTACAGCAGAGTGTACATATAACTTTCAGATGCACTGGTAAATCAGCAAATCCTTGTGACTTGTTTTATTGTGGTATTCTGGAACCGCACCCACAATATCTCCAAGGTATGTCTGTTCACTCAGTGTGGTCTTGGGGTGGAGAGATGGGTGAGGGGATGTTCTGGCTCTCATTTTGGGTGGTGGTAATCACACTCATGAACACTGATTCAAACAGAACTCTTAAGATTGCATGTCCCCAAGCTCCGTGAGAGAAAGGCTCCAGAATATTCCCTGTACAATAAGGACAACAGATTTCAATATGGCTGAAAGACAGGATGCTTGATAAGAAACTAAGCAATGAGTTGGTGTGAAAGAGTGGGGAGAAAAAGAAAGAAAAACCCAAACCCACCGCCATCAAGTCAGTTCCAACTCATAGTGAGCTTCATTGTATTTCCAAGGCTGTACATCTTTATGGAAGCAGATTGTCTCATCTTCCTCCCACAGATGAGCTGATGGGTTTGAACTGCTGACCTTCTGGTTAGCAGCCAAATGTCTTACCTAACATGTCACCAGAGCTCCTTAGGTGTGAGATAGTGGGAGGGGGAGAGGAAGGAAGGCGCCATCCTTGTGTGAGACACTCAGATCTTCATTTATGCCATCAGGGAAAAATGGAAGGGGGAGTGCTTAATGATAAAGTTCCTAGAGAGAAAATAACCCAAAGGCCGAGCTTGCTGACCAGGAAACCGGTTTGGGGAACGTTTTTTAAATAGTGAAATAAGTGAATCCCAAAAGGACAAATACTGGGTGATCATGCTCACATGAAGGGTTGAGAATACACCTTTTTTGGAGGCCAGAAGGCCACACTTTACCATGGTGTCCCCGGCCAGTGCCAACAGTCTGTGCACAGTTGTCAAGTAGAAGTCGGTGGCTTGAACCTGGCCAGCAGCACCATGAAGAAAGGCTGACCATCTGCTTACGTAAAGATGACAGCCAATAATACCCTGCGAACTAACTGTCCTCTGTCCCACGTGGTTCACACGTCTCAGAATCGACAAGACAACAACCCCAACAACAGGCCAGCATGGAGGGAGGAGAGTTTCTGATCAAGCTGATGGACAGTGGCAGCCTTGACCAGTGCTGGTCACAGAGCATCATTCATGGGGTTGATATCACTGAATTGTTCCACTGAAAAGCAAATAGAGAGACAGTCTGTCTTTAACCTCTTGTTGTGCTTTGTTTTGGGTGGTGGTGCCTGCAACAGCTTCTTTGAAGGCAGACAGCCCCTCCTGGCCATCCTGGATCCTGCCCTCATCAAGACGGTTCTGGTCAAGGAGTGCTACACCCTTTTTACCAACCGAAGGGTAGGTTCCAAAGGGAGCTTGCTTCTCTATACCTGCTCTTGAGAGGAGAGTTCACCTTGGGCTTCCTTCACTGTCCCTCACTCTATACCCGAGGGAAGCCCCTCAATGAGACGGACTGACACAGTGGCTGCAACGATGGGCTCAAGCCTAGCAAGGACTGTAAGGCTGACGCAGGATGGGCCGTGTTTCGTTCTGTCCAACGTAGCGTCACTATGAGTCAGAACTGACTCAATGGCAGCTAACAATAACAACAAACCCGAGATAGGAAAGACCCGCGAGTGAACATGCTTGAGGCCCTTTCCCATACGCCTATGCCCATGTCCTGTTCTAAGAGCTTTGAAGAATGTGCCTGACCCTTTACAGTCGTGCCAGAATCTTGGGGATAGGGCAGGTGCCTGAGGAGCAATGGGGTTTTTGGAAAATAAAGGCAGGTACCATGGACATTACATATCCACCGGTGGTGTCCAAAGTAATGCTAGTCATCCTCTTGTCATGGCGGCTGTGATCTGAGTGATTGCCACAGACGGGGGGCCTTTGCCAACTGGCATCCTCCCAAGCCAGGGGGATCTCAGAGACCGTGCATGGGTCCTTGTCCAAGTCTCTCCCACTTCCACCTGTCATGGTAACCGCAGTTCCACCATTGGCAACTGTAGGGCCAAGATCATGTTTCAGTCAATTTCATAACCACTGTTCCATACACCCGCAGTAAGTAATACCGTTAAACAGTGCCAAAACAAGCTGGACACCAATTTTATGGAAAGTTATCTATTCTTCCCAAACTGGTTTCCATCCCGTGTTTGTCTCCAACCAGCCACATGACCCTGGCCTCTGCATCCCCTTTAGGACCTGAGTTTCTTCACATTTCAGTGAGGATGGTGGGGGTGGAGGGTGTTACTCACTGTTCACATGAGACTTTTAATAGCCTTCTCTCTGGCATGTTGTATGAGACTAACACATAACCTTACAGCAATGTTCCTGCCTAATTATCTTTCTCAGCTTGACTCCTACAAAGAAATAAAGAATGAGCCTGGCTACTTCTGCTGCAAGAACTGCTTTGAGGCCCCCCTACTCTGGGGACACAGGCACTCTGCATGCAGAGGGGGGGCTCTTGGCACAGGATCTCAGCACACCACCCACATCCGCGGTTCCTCAGCCCCCTCTTGTCCCCTTCCCCAACAGGCCACCTTGGCAATGTGCTCCTGAACCCTCTAGGAGAAGGCAGTGCCACACTACCTCATTCAATGTTTGTAAAAAAAATATGTTCAGAAATATGTCCAACCCTCCCTTGGAAAAACTCCCAAGCATGTTCTGGAACCCAAGCTGTGCCTGGTTTTTTCCCTTAATCCTCTTTAGAACTTCGGTTTAAATGGAGATTTGGAATCAAACCTCTTCAGCACAGAAGATGAGAAGTGGAAGTGGATGAGATCCGTTATCTCCCCAACCTTCACCAGTGGGAAGCTCAAGGAGGTAAGTGTGGGCCAGCTGGCCCCTAAGAGTGGGCAGGAGGGAGGCTGGGCCTGGGGGTCTCAGAGCCAAGAAGGCCGGGGGAGAGCAGACGCCTGGGCAGGTGGGCAGGGGGCCAGGGTCCTGGGTCGCGAAGCTCTACATTTTCAGTCAGTGGGTCCCCTTCCTCCCTCCCTCTCTTCTCTCTGCTCTTCCTTTTCCCGTCCTTCCCCCGTCTGTCCTCTCCCTTTTTTCCACTCCTTCTGTCCCTTTCTCTCCCTGTCTTGTCTGTTTTCAGTACAGACTTCCTGTGCCCCAGTCATTGAGAGACAAACAGTGTTGCACAGACCTGCTGCCTTACATGCTAGTGGCAGATGTAGATGTTAGTCACTGGATTCCTCAACACCAGATAAAGGACAGGAATCCTCCATGCATGTGTATAGGAAGGAAAGCTACCTGGAAGATATAACACCTCTGAAGCTAAATATTTTATTTCAATTCTCCATTTTGATGAAAACTCTTAGATTATGTGTAAACTTGGGCAAAGTCATTGTATCACAATACACATAACAACATGATTTAAAACAAGTCCATCCTGACTCATGCTGACCTCATACTGTGCCCAGTAGTTCTCAGTGGCTGGATTTTTGGATGTCCGTCACCAAGTCTTTCTTCTCAGGCTCCTCTGGGTGGACTTGAACCTCCAACCAATTGGTTAGCAGCTGAGTGTGTTAACTGTTGACCCATTGGGACCTCCATTGTGTTTGCAAGACTATAACTCTTTATGGAAGCAGTCTGCCTCATTTTTCTCCTGTGGAACAGCTGGTGGGTTCGAACTGCTGACCTTTTCGTTAGAGCCCATGCTTTAACCAATGAGCCACACATAAACTAATATTCCTAATAAGCAAAGAAGGGAAAGTAGGTCTCAGGACTCCAACGTCCAAACACAAGTACAGTGACGCCATTCTCACTCAGGTGCCTCAGGCACTTAAGGTGTGGAAGTGCAGGGAAGTGACCCCTCTTGAGGAAAACCTGTCTTTTCAGAAGATGCATGCCCAGTGACGTCACCACTCATCTGTCGGTTTGTCATACTGTGGTGGCTTGTGTGTTGCTGTGAGGCTAGAGGCTATGCCATTAGTATTTCAAATACCAGCAGAGTCACCACGGTTTCAGCAGAGCTTCCACACAAAGGCAGACTCAGAAGAAGAAAGAACTTGAAGCACTTACTGATGAAGATTAAAAGACTGCAATCTGCAGTATGGATTACATCCCAGCATAAAGAAAATGAAAAGCCTCACAACTGGACCAACAAGTAGCATCATAATAAATGGAGGAAAGACTGAAGTTGTCAAAGACTTCATATTACTTGGTTCCACAATCAATGCCCTATGGAAGCAGCAGTCAAGACATCTGACCACGTATTGCACTGGGCAAACCTGCTGCAAAAGACCTGTTTTAGGTGCTGAAGAGCAAAGATGTCTCTTTGAAGACTAAGGTGCGCCTGACCCAAGCCATGGTATTTCCAATCACCTCATATGCATGTGAGAGCTGGACGATGAACAAGGAAGACTGAAGAAGAGGTGATGCTTTTGAGTCGTGGTGTTGGCAAAGAATGCTGGAAGTACCATGGACTGCCGAAAGAACTAACAAACTTGCCCTGGAAGAAGTGCAGCTGAAATGCTCCCTGCAAGTGAGAATGGCCAGATTCATCTCACTTTGGTCATGCCGTCAGAAGGGACTATGCTCTAGAGAAGGACATCACACTTGGTAAAGTGGAGGGACAACGAAAAAGGGGAAGGCCCTCAGTGAGATGGATTGACACAGTGGCTGCAACCATGGGCTCAGGTATAGCAAGGATTGTGAGGCTGGCACAGGACTGGGCAGCGTTTCGTTCTGTTCTACACAGGGTTGCTATGAGTCGGAGCTGACTCAATGGCACCTAACAACAACAACATACCCAGTGATGAATGGAGTGGACTTGGTCCCCTGTGAGAATCAGTTGTGCATATGTCCGTGTTTAGATATCACAGCTTTAGCTTGGCATTAGCCTCGATGGAAGTGTTTACATCATGGACACGGGAAACACCACAAATCGGAGCTGTTACCCTCTGACCTGATTGTGAACCGTTTAATGGCCCACCACACCTACCTCTCCATCTAGAACTCAAGCCAACCCCCTCTGCTGCTAAAACTAAGATAGCTCCTAAGTCCTAAACCCAAGGAAGGTTTCTATTCACAGCCCAGACTTACAAAAACAATAAGTCAAGTCCATCTTAGAAACATGTTATGAACCGCAGTGAAACAATAGCCCTTTTCCAGCTCCATCTCACGGATCACCTCCTTTCTCCCTTAATTGGCCTGAACTCTCCTTGCTCTCCATGCCCCTTGTTCATGGAGGTCAGCTGGAATGGACTCCATGCCCTTGAGGTTGGTGTATGGTTTTTGGTATAGTAGTCTTTATTTTCAGGCTGGCACACACGGTTGGTGCTTGACTACTAACTCAAAGGATAGTGGTTCAAACCCGTTCAGTAGCTCCGTGTAACAGAGGCCTGGCGACGGGACGGTAACAGCCAAGAGAACCCTACAGAGCGGTTCTTCTTTGTAACACGCCCGGTTGCAGTGAGTCGGGATCAACTGGACAGCACGGGTTTGGTTTTGGGCTTGGTATCTGGATACACCGATGACTGAGTGCCAATGGCTGTCACTGTTTTCCAGATGTTTCCCCTCATCAAACAACACGGAGACATTCTGGTTTGAAACATTGAGAAGAGAGCGGCTCGGGACGAGGTGGTGAACATGAAGGAGTGAGTATGGCCCTCGGGCAGGAGTGGAGACGCGGTGGCGTCATGGTGGCGGGGACCGGAGCACGAACGCACCGGGTACGGGAGTCCAGGGTAAATACCCGGGATGTCCCTCCTTCCTCTGGGGTTCAAGCCCAACCAGCATCTCCACGGTGTCACCGGAAACTCCAGGTTCTGCTCGGCGTGACTGGGTCCAAAGACAGAAAGACCAGGCAGGGGAGTGAGGAGACAGCTTTATTCCGTTGCCCAAGAAAAGGCAACAGCCAGGGCCAGCCCTTGCCCCGACTGCCCAGGGAAGTGGGACGGAAAGCCACTCTCAGAGCCTTTATAAACAGGAAGTCGCCCAATGACGCCATCACGCTCCTAAACAAGCTACGCAGGCCCATTACTACTGTGACGTCAGACGTCAAACATCATCGGAAAATGGCGGCCAGCCTCCTCCCTGAGGCAGAGAAGCTGATTTGCATGAGGCCGCCTCAACGTGGTGAAGGTTACTCCAGCTCACATGGACCGGTCTGAACTGGCGCTGGCTGGCGGTTCCCAGCGGAGGTGGGGCCTGCAGCTCGCAGCCGGCAGGTCAGGCGTGATCAGGCCGTAGGTGGAAGCGGAGCGGGCCTGGCCGGGCGCTCCTGTAGGGATCCCAGCCCAGGAAACCCTCGGGCACTTCCGCTCTGTCCCGCGGGGTCACCCTGAGCCGGAATCGCCGCCACGCCCCGACCAGCACCCGCAGCGACAGCGTGAAGCCAGACAAGCCCCCGGGCCTGTCCCCGTGGTCTGCACGGGCTGAAAGGCCCAGGTCGTACAGCAGGTCCGCGAAGTAC